AATCTTGAGTGAGTAGAGATTACATTCAGGTGCATCATTCTACAGAGTCTTCTGTCCCACTGCTCAGCATGAAAGCAGGAGAATTTTGAATTATCCTGAGCAATAGCTCAGTAAAGATAGAAAGTACTGCTTCTGGTGACGTTGTGTTCATTGCTTAAACACAGACAATGCTCAAGGGAAAACTTACAGTTGCTCTTAGTAATGATAGTAATACATTTTTAAAAACTCTCTTGAATCAAAAATGGATCAGAAGCAACAAGAAGAGGACCACCAAAGCTTTGAAGATATGTAAAAATAGCAGCTCTGACACTGTTATTTTCAAAATACTGAATATGTATGTTCTTATGAACTATCTTTGGGAGACTGACTGAAAATTTTGTTCTCTCCCCAAATATTATGGTTTTTTTTAATGGAAATTATTATTTCTTGTTGAAGAAAAATATTCAGCTTTACTGAATAATATGCTGAATTTTGTACAAAAGTTTGCCATCTTTTTGACATGTATTACCCTTCATTTCTAAATTTTAGTTGCAAGAAAATAAGCTAATACCAAGAATAGACTGATAAACCTAAGCATACAAATAGGATAAAAGATCTCTGAAGTCTGCAAAACTTTAAAAGAAACTATCAAACAAATGTATCAGAGGTATAGAGTGACATCCCAGTACAGTTTAATGGTACCAAGTTTTGCTGCTTCCACAGCAGATCTTATATTTATCAGAAATATAGTGATAGAAATCTAATCTATCAAGTTTCATCTTGGCTTTAAGTTTTTCAGGTCCCATTTTCCATTTGCATGTAAGTAAAAGAAGCAGCCAGCCAGTAGCAGGGTTCTTGATAGATTCGGTAAGGCTGACAACTGTACTATGCCACTGAGAGAAAGGAAATGTCAGCCATCCTAAGCCACAATACAAATCCAGTTTGACTTTTAACTGAGGTAGTGCTGTAGAGGTTTGAAAATATGCTAGTAAACACCAAATTTTACTGCTGTAGCATGTGCAAGCAGAACCTCTTAACATGCTGAAGAGTAAGTACAGTTCATTGGTACTGAAAATGCAATGATCACAATCCATCAGCTGAGGTCCAAAGTCCTAAAAGATATCACGCTGAGCACAATTTATGCAAACAGCGGCACGGTGTTGCAAAAGATCCTGGTAAATGAGACAGGTTGCTTCTCCTCCAATAATAATGAAGAAATGTTCTGAAAGCTATGTGAAGTAGGGAGAAAAATGGATCTTATAGCAGCTTAAATCTAAAATGATGACAGTTCTATCAAGTATAAGGATGAAACTTGTTTCTTCATTCTGGAAAGGGGGAAAAAACGAATCAGTAAGTTCTAATCAAAAGTAACCAAAGGTACAGACTATCCTTATGTACTAATTTACTGTTTTTTTCAATTACTGATTAACGTAGGCATAGCTGATTTCTAAATTCTAAGGAACTTCTTAGTTCTAAGAAACCTTCTTAGGAATTCAGAGCTGCTCCAGAAATATTAGCTGCCGCAGAAGATGCTGCACATCTAACATTAACATTACACTGCTAAGTTTCCCTTCAGTATCACTGCCACAATTCTCCTAGAACCAGGAATAGGAGATCAGACGGGAAATTATCTACTTCCTCTATTAAAGCTAGAATAAATATAAGGAAGCAATTTTTCAGGGCACACAAAAGATTCTTCTCTGAATTATCTGAGCTCTTTACTACATGCTATTTGGAAAAGAGAAAATGCAGATTTATGGTACACTGGGCCCTGACATTCTCCTTCACAGTTTTCTTCTTGTTTTACTTTTAGAATAGAATAGAGCTGGAAGGGACCTTGGAGGTCTTCTAGTCCAGGCCCCTGCTCAAGCAGTCCAGCCCCCTGCTCAAGCTTAGTACAGTTTTTTTCATTATAGTTGCAAAGGACAATTTGATAAAGAAAATAAATATGATGAATGTTCCAAGAGAGATAATAAAACAACAACTCAAGCAAAACTGGGTTACTTTAGGAACTAACTAAACTATTATGATATTAGGGACTAGAAATCATCCATTTCCATGGTTTGTAACAAAGGTATGAGTATTGGGACACCAATATTATGCATACAATGCATCAGGAATAATTTAGAAAATATACTTGGAATGTGTAGGAAGAAAATTGCATCATTCAGCAACTCTTTAAAGCAGCTGTATAATTTCTCAGCTGTCACCCAAGCATCATTCAGCTGTAATGATCAACCTATCAACAGACTGACTGGGAGCACCACTCATCCCATGGGTATCAAGAGCATTATGGAAGAGCAAGCAGCAAACAGGTTGATAGCACCACCATGGACAAAAGCTGGCAGTATTGAATTTACTGGACTGAATGATGTTATTTTCACAATATTTTATAATATGTTTTCCTATATTAGAACTTCATGCTGTGAAGACTCTTGTGGTTGACTAGAGACATCGTGCTAGCCAGTTTAATTTACTAACCTCCATTCCTTAAGATAGTATAAAGTATGCCAGCATAAATTTACTCTGTCAAAATAACCAAACTGTGATGCACAGTGTTAACAAAAATTGAGAATGATGTTGTTTTAGTAATTTACTGTAGGGCAAGCTAAGGTGCAGTGATTGGTGGATTTTTCTGCTAATAGAAAAGATCTACTGATCCCTCCCCCTAATTTGGGCTGAGGCTGGGACTTGGAAAGGAGGCTGATCTGGGGGAGGAATTCCAGGAAAATAGGAGAGGCTTTCTTTCTAGATCTCCTGTTTTGTGTGTGGGGTTTTGGGGAACAGCAGTATCTATTCTCTCCTCCAAGATTCCCCACATGACTTTCCCATATCATGTGAGTAGACAGAGGTTGAGCAAAGAGTCCTGGTTCAGCAAGTGCCACCCCCATATGACCTATTGTAGGAAGCCATGGAAATGACTTTGGAGAAAGAATTGAAATACTGTTAGAGAAATACCAGGTTCAGAGGAAACGTGCATTAGGTCCAAAGAGGCAGAAGAGCATCACAAAGAAACTCAAAACTCTTTTCACTCCTCTGGCTGAAAGAGGGAGAGAAGGGAAGACATGGGCAGACTTGCAAGATTTTGTCATTGCAGCCTTTCTCATAAAGTATAGTTCTGGTCCTCCAGTGGAGATTGCTTCCCAGTCTGATCTATTTGGAAAAGCTGACACCTGCCTACACACTGTGAGGAGAATCCAACAGATGCCCCACATGGTGTGATGGCTGGGTTGCAACAGCTGCCGTGATGCAACCCAATGGCATGACTACCAACAAGCTGTACGAGAGAGGTCCTCAGCAACTTGTAGGCAGTTGCTAGGAGCTGAGGTAGGAGTCCCCTAACACCAATGGGTAGTTTGTGAGTTGATTACTGCTATAATTAATATAATTATTATATTAATTATTATAATTACTGCTATAATAATTCTGCACATCTGGCAGGGCTGGTACTGAATGAAGTGGGAATTCCCCGTGCTGTGTTGCAGGCCAATGCTGATCTTGTAAGTTGCTAAGCACCCCAGCCCCTGGTTATATTGATAACTATCCTGGCTACTCATGCATATTGATGGCTCAGATGATTACTTGCAAAGTTGTGGGAAGTTTCTGCTGGTTTAACCATTACTGAATCTTCTGACATGCATGCAGTAGAAAGGGGGCGGAAGTGTGCCCACCTGATAAAGGGCCAGCAGGAGAGGGATATTCCCACTCCCACTCCCTTCCCCCATATTACTAGTTCAGTTACTGCCACGTTTTGGCCAATACAAGGTGAAGAAAAACTCTGATTTAGCTATGGTTTTGGCTCTGGTTTGGAGATGAGAAGAAAGGGCTCTGTAGCATTCTCTTTGATGTCTCCAACTTGACATAAAGTCATGTGGTCTGTGATCTTTCTGGCTGTGGTCATTTGGGAATCTATTTTACCACTGTATTAACTGTTTTAATTTCTGGCACTTTTCAATGTTAGAAATTCAGTTACCTATGTATATTGTCAAGATTCATAGACAAACTAGGCATAAATGCCCATTATATAGTTCTTCCACTTTCAATGCAACCTTTTACTTATATCCACAGATTTAACCACATGCTTGTTGATGGCCCAGCTATGAAACAACAATTTTTCTTTTTACTGGTTCTTTTTGAAGTACCATTAAATAAATGGTTGTAAGTTGAGGAATACACACCTGTTTTGTATGTTTTTAGCTGACAAAGATTTTTAGATATTCTAGATGTTAAGACATTTGTTTTATTTTTTGAGCTGAACTGAAGCAGAAAGTGCAGAGCTTAAAAATTACAGTAGACAAAGATTCTTTTAAATAACAAATGCACAGCCCTTAGTCATTTGGAAGTGACTAAAAACAGCATGACATTGTACAGATTAGGATTGAAGAATACTAAGTGAATGCCTCAGTGTTTTGCTTATCTTCTGAAATATACTTGACCTTATCTGGTTCAGCAAGTTCAAAGAATAAACTTGAACATTGTTGAATCAAGAGGGCATTTGGAGGAGCAAAGTAACACACAGCTGGGGAAAAGGTAAACACACCAGATTTGATATTATTTTATACACTTTCAAGATCATGGTTATTTCAGCTCTTTATCGTTTACAAATTTTGTGCCAAACAAAATATAACTGCTAATTTCTGTGAGATACACCAAGCTTAACATTCCTGTTATTGATTACTACAGTTATTCTGTTAAATGCTAGCATTTTCCTTATGTTTTCCTTATTATTATTTGGGATGGGTATAATTTTAAAGTTAACATCAATAGATAACACTGAAAGTGTATTTTGTATCAACTATTCTAGGTTTCCATAACAAACAATTCAAATTTATAGACCTGTTATTATTTGGTTTTTTTTGAAAGTTGCAACAAAAATGAATACCACTGCACATAAAAATAATGTAACTATTCCATAATAACTAACCACACTGCATTTATCAAAGTATCAGGAATTACATGAACTTCAACATTTGGGAGGGCACCAAAGTAATGATTGTGTAACCCTTGGTTAATAAATATATACACAGTTCACAGCAGTGCAGTGGATGCTTGAGACCCATTTTTTGTCAACATCTGAATCTATTGGGTTTGTCTTTTTTTTTTTTTGAAAAGGGCCAAGGAAGAGGACTTTTGAGCAATCTTATTTTTTTGATATACATTTTTGGGGTTTGTTTTACATCTCTTGTATTATTTTGTTCATTCATAGTACATGACATCTTTCTTTTTCTCTTATGTTTTTTCTTCAGAAAAATAAATAAAAATAGTGCTACCATTCCATAACAGAGTAGAGCAATAAGAATTCCCCAATGGGAGAAAACATACAAGAGAGAGAATAAAAGCATGACTGATTTAAGATCCCTATAGCAAAATAAAAAGCTACATGGGCAAAAATGTCAATAGCGTAATTTTATTTATGTTTACTCTGAATGTAGCCAGCTTGGCTCATCTCAAAAATCAAAACAGGATAAGATCTGGTCCATTAAGACTATGGTATCTAGATGGCAAAAATCTGGGCTTTTAATCCAGCAGCAAAGTATTCATCTTCCCTATCTCTGAACTCCCTCAAATACTTGTTCTGATGTTTGGTATAATATGGTAGCCCAAGATTAGTATTTGGGCAAGAGTTCTCCTGAGGATATTGCAAATGCAGTGGATTAGATTGAAAAGTTGAAAAAACAACCTGGAAGAAGGAAGTAGCAAATGAGTTCTATTCTGCTGCCAAGAAAACTTCATGGTCGTATTTATGAAATCACCAGGAATCCAGCTCCATGGGTAAGGAGAATTTACCTACTTACTCTAAACTACATCCTTTTTCAGTAGGAATTAGTTTTAGAACTGGAGCATCAACATGTTACTGGACTAAGAAATAACAACACACTAGCTGAGACTCACATATTTAAATTTGGAATACTTTCATATAAGCCAGCATCTCCACAAAAGTTCAGCAAAATAATTTAAAGTAAATAGGCAAAGTATTTTGATTTTGTGCTTTCTTTGGCTCTAATGGCTCTTTCAAAAGCTCAGTTATTGAAAGGGAAGCAGGAATAAGTGTGCAAACTCACCTTTCACTAAAGATGTTTTTTTCAGATTGTGGGCCAGAACATTTATACTGGCATAAGTACTGTTGATATTTCCATTGATAGCATACATGTCTTTGTGCTCAACTTGGTCTCCAACTGCAAGATTACTTCCATGCAATGCATCAACAGCAATGTAGTTGAGGCCATTCTGGAAGCCAGCTGAGGTTTCCCGGCACATGGGGCTACTGTTCTGTTCCTCTCCCAAACCTTCATTTTTCCTGAGGGACACATTTTCTACAGAGGCAGAATTCTGCCGCTTAGGATTGTGTGCAAAGGAAGGAGAAACAGGAGTCACTGTGGTAGTAGATAAGAAAGTTTCTGAGCTGTGCCTTCGACGCCCCTGAGGATCAGCACGAATGACTTTGGCTCCATGATTGGGATCAAAAGGAGGACTAGCAAAGGCAAAAGCCTCCACCCCAGGAAGGGTAAGTTGCTTCATTCCAGGGCCAGGGCTAGTCACACAAGCACTTTCTGGCTTGTGTGAGATGGGCTGGGGTGGTGCGGTGGCAGTGTTAAAAATCATTTCTGCATAGTCACCAGCTTCAGAAGTTGGGCTGGAAAGGTAAGCCATCTGCATTCCAACCTTTAAATAATGCTTGTCTAGCTGCCCGGGGTTAGGGCAAGATACTGGCATAAGTATTTCTTCCAAGGACCTCAGAGAGATGGCACTTGTCTGTGGACCATCAAAATTGAGGTTCATATAATTGGAAATCCTTGAGCCATTATGCCCACCTAAGCCAGGGTTAAGCAGAGAAGATACACCCTCACAGGCTGGCGCCAGTGAGTAGCCAATATCAACATAATCTCCACTGGAACTCTGAGGTTCCTTTAGAAGAGGCTGTTCATTCATGCTGGGTAGCAAAAGCCCCAGAGAAGGGTGAGTGGACTGGGTATTGCCTGTCTTTTGGCTGAAAGAGTTCTCAATTTGATTGTGATGCATGGATAAATGCACTGAAGTATTGTTGCATGGAGCAAGAAAGAATTTCCCTTTGGGGGCGTAATTCTGTCTGCCTGTTGGAGAGCTCATAAACACGTACTGGTCACTGTCCTTTCTCTCACCGTGGGAATCTGACTGCTGTTGGCATGCATGCAATAGGCTACCCAAGTAACCAGCCTGGTTTCCAAGCCTCAAAGCACTGAAATGATCAGTTGAGAGCATAGGTGAATCTGAAGCAGAAGGTCCATGCAAAGGGGGCAAAAGCAAAGGGGACATACTGATGTAGTCATTGTTGGCCAATCTCTCTTCTGGACTCTCTCCAGGCAGCCTGGTTCTGGTACCCCACATATGCATGTAACCACAATCATCTGGAGAACTCTCCCTGTTGATTTTGTAAGAATAAGACTGTGCAATCTGTTGTGGGGCTGACACACTGGTGGGGTGCATAGACATATAGCTATCAGAATCAGTCTGCAATGACACGACAGATGATATGCTGGGACTCATGGGCATATAGCCATCCTCCTTAGGCACAATACAACCTATGTGTGACCTATCACTGCTGATGCCACCACACCCAATGTCCACATCACAATAATCTTCGGGATAAGGAGTATAGGTTGTCTTTGGTGAATATCCCGCTCTTGAAAAGGTGGCCTGCATGAGTGTGTACTCGTTGAGGGAGGCAGAGGAAACTGAAGGAGGCAAGGAGCCTTGGTGTGCTGGTGTTGTCAAAGAGTAAGTGCGCTTCCTGGGAACCTTGTCCTCTCCACAAAGATATAGCTGGTGGCGGATGGGTTCCCGCTCCATAACAATGTAACTATCCAACTGCCAGCCAGGAGGAGTCTCAGGTGTGTTGCTATGGTGGCTTGTTGCTGAAGAAGATGAGAAAGGCAGTAGCTCTCCAGCTGGACTGGAGTCTAATTCCTCAAAAGTCATGAAGCCAGCTAGGTCACTGGGGGAACCAGAAGCAGAAGCGCTGCAACTAGATAAGCGCTGAGAGGCCAAGCTTGGCTCTGTGGTCAACTTTGGTCCCAGGGAGGAAGAATGCCCTAAAGCTAGGGAGCCACCAGAATGGATTGCTGTTGGTCCTCCTAGTGGGCTAGGGACCCCTCTGATTCCAAGGCGATGTGAGATTTGCCCCGTTTCGGGGCTCAGGGGGCTGCCAGACAGCGAGTCAGCCCTAATTCCATCACTCTCGCTGGCCGTCCGCACCCGGCTGCTGTGGCTGCTGCTACTGCTGCTGCTGCTGCTGCTGCTGCTACTCCCTGCTACAGTCAAGATGTCAGTGCGCGAACGGCGGAGGAGGCCGGTCTGGCTGGGGGGCAGAGGCGCCAGCGGGTGATGATGGGCGTGATGGCGGCGGCCGGGAACTGAGATGGGCCGGCTGCACATAGACGATAATCCCCCGCCGCCGCCCGCAGTCACGGCGACTGTGGTGGCGCCTCCGGACGAGGAGGACGAGGACTGGCTCTTGCTCCGCGGGCGGAACTCTACGAGCTCCCGCAGCGCCTTCATGGCCTCCAGGATGGTCTCGTGGATGTTCTGCGCCACCACCGAGTCGTCGGCTTGCATCCAGAGTTCCCCGGGCCCCGTTGAGGCCGAACGCCCCAGTTCCATGAAGAAAAAGCTGTCCGAGTGACCGCATCGGCGGATGTTCATAAGCTGCAGCGTCACGCAAGGCCGGTCACAGTTGAGCCGCACCAGCCCGACCGTACGCGCCGCCAGGCACAGGCGGTGCACGCCCGTGAGGTTGCGGCTCTGCCCGAGTCCCTTCGGCTTCAGCGTCACCTGCCACACCTCGCGGTAGGCGGCGGACGAAGGGGGCCTGCAGCCCAGTTGCCCGTAGCTGAAGTCCTCGCAGGAGGCCAACTGGGACGGGTGCCGAGGAGAGCCCTGTGCCGCGGCCTGGCCCTCGTGAAGCAGCTCCGTGATCGCTTGGTACCAGGCCTCCTGCTCAGGCTCGCTTTCAGCTGCCAAGGCGAAGTACTCGTCGCGCGTGTAGAGGGCGATGAGGTGCTTGTGCTTGGCGTCGGCTCGTTTGTGGATATTGAGGCAAGCGTCGAGGGCAATGGTCCGCTTGGGAGCCGTGGACTTACTCCGCCACTTCTTCTCACTCTCGTAGTACTCCAGTCGGGCTGGCTGCTGCGGCGACGCCTCCTCCCCCGCTGCCGCCCCGCCACTGGGGGCGCGAAGCACGAAGAAGCGCTTGTGGCCATGCTTCTGCTTGCGAAGGTAGCCGCACTTGCGCACGCCCGGAGGTGGCTGCTGCTGCTCCTGTTGTTGTTGCTGGTTGTTGTTGTTGTTGTTGTTGTTGAGATTGGGGCCAGCCGAAGAGCTGCTGGGCGATTCCGGTGCGGGGGCGGTCGCCATCCCCCAGAATGGGACGGTATTCCAGGAGGGCGAGCCCCGGGCTTCGGCGGTGTGCGGCACCTGTCCCTGGTATCTTCTGGGTCTGCTCGTTACTGTCAGCTCGCGCTCCTTCGCCTCTGTCCGCCCGAGGCTACTGCGCAAGCTCTGTCAGTTTCAGCACCACGGACGCAGCGAGTTACTTCTCACACTTTGCTCGTCCCCGCGAAGAGCAAAACAACACGTGAACTGCCGGTTACCCAGCAGTTACCCAGACGCTCACCCACACGGAGGGATGGGGTTGCCGGGAGATGCCCCCTCTGGCCTTTCATCCCACCGCGCTCCACATTGGGTGCCACACTGCGTAAAAGGCAGCTTGCTCCACCAATAGCGTGGAAGATAGAAGCTCTCCCCCCCCCCCAGCCTCTAGAATATTATTGGATTGGAGGCTGGCGTCTTTTTCCTGCCACGCCTATCAGTCCCTCCTGTTTTTTTTCCATACCTGTCTCTGCAACCGTGTTTCCGGGCAGAGCACCTCCTACGCAGTGAGCTGCGGTTTCTGTCTTGATGGTCCTAGCTCCAAGGGCGCTCTGAAGACCTAAACTTAGATTATTTATTTTAGCACAGTTTGATAGAGCTGTACGTAATAATTTGTGTTTGGAGGCACGCGCGTACATAATAAGAGTTCATCGTAAATTACAACATCACGTGAAAGCTCTCCTAAGGACTGGAATATTACAGCAAGCCATAATATGGAGGAAAGAGCAACTGGACATTTTCTGCTCTCGTGGTAAAGAGGTGGATGCAATAGGTTTGAAAGGACTAAGGAGAAAACGGAAGCTGAAAAAGGAAAAAGAGATTTTATACAAATCTTCTCATGTCACTTACTTCAACTGTTCCTCCCAGGACTTGTTTCTAGATGCCTGGAACCATCTGGTTGCGGTCTTATTAATATTCATAAGTCAGTGTCATTCTGAATACATGGCATCAACAACTAGTTGCAAAATTTCAGAATCCGCTCCCCCCCCCATTTTTAAAAAAAATTGGTGGTTGAACTGCTTTGCTGGCTCATAGCTATTAAACTTATTACTACCAAGCAAGAATAATTTCATCCTGGGGAAAAATCATTAACAACAAGAAGAAATACACACAAAGACACCTGTGTATGTGTATACCTTCAATAGGTACATACATATTTGTGCCTGCTGATCAGTGTTGACTCCTGTTGAGTTCTTGTAGTTTTCTTAAGGTTTTGAAAGTGGTTTGCCATTGTCTCCTTCCTAGAGCTGAGAGAGAGTGATTGGCTTATAGCAGTGGTTCTCAACCTTTTTAATGCCGCAACCCCCCAACCGGTCGTAAGTCGAGGACTAAACCGGTCGTAAGTCGAGGACTACCCAACCAGTCGTAAGTCGAGGACTTTCCCTGCCCGGGAGCGCCGCGCATGCGTGGTTCCGCCCCCTGCGCCGGCCGAGGCGTAGCTGGCAAGTGGCAGAGACAGAGCAGGCCGACCACCAGCTGGCCCAGCCCAAGGGAGGTAAGGCACCCGCCAGAAAAGGGGAAAAAAATTGGACAAAAAAATGGGGGACAGCCTTGCTTGGCGACCCCCGTGAAATGGTCGATCGACCCCAAATGGGGTCGCGACCCATAGGTTGAGAACCGCTGGCTTATAGTCACCCAGCTGACTTCATGCTTAAGGCAGGATTCCTGGTTTCTAACCTGGTGCCTTAATCACTACACCAAACTGGCTCTATTAAAATAAAACAACAGAAAATTGCCAAGGAGACTATTGAGCTGCTAAATGACAGAACATTAAAAATATGCTAGATAGTGCATACACAGTTAATAAAGTATTTGCTTTCATCTTTGTTGGGGAGGATATATAATATAGGTTTATGCCTGAAATAGTTTTTTTCAGGAAGAGAATCAAAATAGCTGAAAAACATTAGTCATATAATATGAAGTCATATCCCTACTGTCAAATTAAAAATAAGGACATGCCGATATCCAAATGGTATTATCCTGAGAGTTGTTAAATAATTCTTTTGCAAAAACTAGCATTTGTTCCCAAAGTCTGTAAAGTGTGCAATTTTATTTTTAAAAAGCCAGAGAAGATACAAAATTGTACACATGTTAGCTTAATGTCCTTGCTGCATAAAATGCTACAAGGTATTTAAAATAAAAACATTCAAATATACAGAAGAATGGGATTTACTAAAAAGGGGTAAAGGAAGTTTTGTGTCACCTAAAGTTCAAATCTTTTCTAAAGATGTCAGCATTGAATCCTTGAGATACTTGATGGCAAACATGTGAGTTTTGAATACTTGGAGAAGTTCTTTTCTTTTTTTTTCTTTTTTAAAAATATTTTATTGATTTTTAAGAATTACAATCTTTAGTGCTTAGTAAACAACATGTTGTCTGGGTTCAGATATTTAACATTAACTTCTTCAATATAAATCTGTTCAGTACTGCACAATCCTGTATTTTTTCCCTGATCCTCCTTTTCTTCCCCTTATTTTTTCCATTTTCCCCCCATTACACAGTTACAATTCTTGCTACTATTGATGTGTACAAAGTTAGATATAAACATCCTCATCATATTTTACTAATATACAAATAATATCAATTCATAAATCAATATCCTGTTTTTCATGCTCTTCTTAAGGTTTGATTTCCCACCAATATTTGAAATATCTTTGTCAGTTATGATTTTCTCAATATTAATTACATTTATATAGCTAAAAGTTTTATACCAGCCATCCTCTTATTTTCATATTTCCCATATCAAAAGAAAAAAAAGAAAAAAAATGCTATTTTAATTCTAAATCATATCTCTCATTATAAAAGTCTAATTATATCTAAGGGTCATCCATTCTTTTAATCATATTCAAACAAATATTTAAAGATATAATATCCCCCTCTAATCGGTCAAATCTTCTGTTATTTTAAATCTAACTCTCACTTTCTTTCTTTGCCAAGTAGCTTTCCAAGCCAGGGCAATTAAGTTCCCAGGAGATGTCTTTCTATTTTTGTAAAAGTTTCTTGGCATGAGGAAGACATTTTGGGTAGGGTATTTGGGGGGGGGGGAAATTCCACCCATTTATATTCCTTAAGCAACTCCCACTTTCCTTCTCCCTCAATTTCTCTTTTCATCTTTTGTCTCTGAAGTTGTGACATTTCCTCTATATTCCATTTTTTAAAATCTTCCTTATCATCAGGTATATTTTGCAGACCTAAAAGGTAAAATGTCTTTTCCATTTTCATTGTTATCAGTATTTTATTTGTATGTGGTGGTTTATATTTCCCTTCTTTTATCTCTTCTGTCTCTAAGTCTGTTTCCTCTGCTTCATTTTCTAATTTCTGGTTTATTTCTTCATACTTTGTAGTTTGGGAATTTTCTAGTTCTAGATTTAAATTGGAGATTTGTTCATTTATATTATCTAAATTATTTTTAGTCTCATTATGGTTTTTTTATGTCCTCTTTGTATGTGACAATTGTTTGGTGAGTTAATTGTACCATAGAGTATATTTCCTTCTGAAAGGTGTTTATTTTTTCTTGAGGCATCATTCCTGGAGATCCTCTAGTATCACCAATCTTAATAAGAATAGAACAAAGTTTCATCTAATTTTCTGGTCTTTATGTGTAGCCTTTATAATCCAATAGGTACCAGAATATGGGTCCAGTCCTAAAAGCAATATTTTGTAGTGATCTTTTGTCTCAGGCATCCAAGAATTTTCGGTCAGGCAAGGTTGTAATCCACAATGTTCAAAGTGTTCAAAATGTTCAACCACCCTGAAGACAGCTCAAAAGTCTCTCCAGCCAGACGTAGTCAAAAGTCAAATTTTTCTTTCTCTCCCAATAGTTCTTGAGATTAAAAGTCCAAGCTCAGTAAGTGTTTATAATCGAAGAAGGTCAGGGTGATAAGTATGCCAAAATATTTTCCTTTATTGCTAGTTCTTCTCCATTAATCTAGGAGTCACCAAGCAGCCAGGAAGTTAGTTGTAGTGCTATACTCAAATCCACCACTAGATGTCATTCAAAATCCATTTTCCACTCTTAAGACAGGATTAATTTCTTATATTTCACTCAATTTTTTTTCAAAGAGAAAATCTTTACAATCATCTCAGTTCTCAAATTTATCAAAACTGTAGCTTTATGTTACTTCCACTTCAGTATTATGTATTTCTGTCCCCTATCAAAGAAATTAAAATGCTGCTTCCATTCATGTTTGGAGGTTTTTAGCTACTTGGGAGCCTTTCCCAGGAAATTCAGTTTTAAAATAGTAAAGAAAGGATCAATATTCTCACCCAGTTCCAAACATGCTGTTTACGATCTGCTAATTGGTGCTTTTCTTCTTTGGTTGTCAGCAGCTAATGGCAGGCCACAGAATGTAGCCAGTCTTTCCCCTGCCGGTTTGGAGGGCTTTCCTCAAATCGAACGGAAAGACCACCATCTCTCCGTGATCAACGAGGCGCCCCTCCTTCTTCATCGCCTCTTTGGGGCAACTTTAAGCCCTTTTAGCACCCCCAGCAGGGTGAAATTGGGCGTGGAAGGCAGAGCCCTGCCTTTCTGGGTTCATCTCACCGTGACACAAAACCAGAGAAGTCTGGAGAAGTTCTTTTCAATTTGCTTATAAGTGATCCAAAATTAGGGATGAGCAGTAAGATGCCAAGTTCAGTGATGACATCAAAAAGGAGCTGTGAAGAACTCCCAAGAAATCCATTCAGATTGGTTGAAAGGACAAAAAAAAATCACTGGTACATTAATAGACTGTGAGACGAAAAAGGGGACCAGGAAAGGGATCTTGGAATCCTCACAAATCAATGAAAAGCTGAACCTAGTGCATGGTACCGTAAAGCAAGGCATATTCTATGTTTCGACCATTAGAAAGGAAACTGAAAATAAAACAGGACTGCCTTATATAAATCTAGAGTGAGACTACACTTGGCATATTATCTACAGTTCTGGTTACCAAACCGAAAAAAAGAAAAGACATTGAATAATTTAAACAGTGTAAAAAAAGCAC